AATTGGGGTTGGAGCTAAACTCTTCAGGACACCGGCCCTCCAGCAACGAGTTTGGGCACCCCTGGCATAGACATTACCCTACCCCTTTTACATGGTATTAATTTTATTTGTGCAGGTCTTAAGTATTAAATTAAGGTTAAACAGTACCTTGTAGTAGGGAACTACATTTTCTTTTGTCTTCAGTGGTGGATGTGAATGATTCAAGCAGTACATCTTCTGGCGAGTGCTATCAAAACACTGAGATTGACACGGACAACCATTTCATGTCACGTATGTAAAAATAAATCATACATTGGGTAAATTTAATTCATTTAATCCAGAGAGAACATGTTTAGGTGTATCCACTGATATTTCATCTTTTTTCCCTTAATGAAGGTGAGGAAAAACCATCATTGCATGAAAAGTCACCATTTGCACCCCTGTCTTACGTTGACCATCACTTATCAAACTCTGACAGTCGAGGTGAAGCTCCGATTTAAAACTCTTGATGAAATCCCAGATTGTCAAAACTTCTTCCACCTTTAAAATTAAACAGTATCTTGTAGTAGGGAAATCAATTTCAGATTTATGAATTCTCTTTTAACTTCAGCGGTGGATGTGAATGATTCAGACAGTACATCTTCTGGTGAGTGCTATCAAAACACAAAGATCGACATGGACAACAGTCTCCAGTATGGTAGGTTCACATAAATCATTTAATATTGAGGCTTGAAGGGTATTTTCACTGAGCATTCTGAGGATTCATTCTGTCAGGTAAATCGCATGTGTCTGTTTTCTCTAGAAGACGAGGAAAGCCCATCACTTCCTGAGAAGTCACTACAGACACCCCACAGCACTCAGATGACAGGAAACACTGCTGGTTACAGTGGCTCTCATGTACCTGTCACCCACAGTCAAGGTAACTATTTGATTGAACAATGTTACAATATTGACAACTGTGTATTTTGATAGGGATATGTGTGAATGCTTTTGTGCTTGGCAGATGGGAATGATTCAGACAGTACTTCATCAGAAGAGTGTTATCAGAACACAGAGATTGCTGAAAACGCCTTTCACCATTATGGTATGAATGAAACATACAGTATATATACATTTAGCAGACACTTTTATCCAAAGTGACTTACAAATGAGGA